GGGCCAGTTGTGACAGGTGGATGCTGACTGGAGCCTGGATTTCAAGCCCTGCCCTCCCAACGTTCCTGGGCTGCTTGGATTGGGTCTGCTCGTTTGGCGGTCACCATCCTGGCTGACCCACTGAGCGTTGAACTGGGGACCGGCGGAGCTAAAACCCTGAGTGGCTACAGCTTCAGCGAGAGAGGCAGAATTTCTAGGGGGGCCGGTAACAGACTCAGTTTCTCTTTGGATCGGCCCAACGGGCGACCTGTCGCACACCCACCAGTGGGTACAGTCGCACGCACATAGTGAAAGTCACCAAGGCCCCACTTAGCTCCTTCTGGAGCCCTAGACAGAGGGGTGAATTTCACCTACAGTGCAGGAGGGGACTGGGGCCATGTGGGCCTCAGCCGCCAATCTGGCTCTGCAGTCCCATGCCAAATCCCTCCATCCCCTAAAGGTTCAGGGGTACCTGGACGGGGCCCAGCAAACACATGACTTGGGAAAGGGGTTTGTCCTCCCCTCAGAATCCTGCTTCCCATGCCCAGGCTCCCATGGCACCTTCTGGAGTCGGTGCTGCATGGCTGCCTGGCGGGATAAGCCAGGCTTGGTGGGGCAGGGGAAGGTCCTATACAAAGGCCACCCCCTTGGGCGGAGCTGCTCCTGAGAGGGGGTCTGGCTTCTTCGCTGGGGCTAGTACCCAAAGGGAGCAGGCCCTGAAGGGGCGCGTCACCTCAGCAGGGTGGCCCGCTGCAGCGCAGGGCAGAGGAGAGGAGTTTGGAAAGGTTTCACCGCTGAGCTGGAGCGGGGTGATATCTCCATGCCAAGCCTCTACTCCGGGGCGTAGCGTGGGACGACTGTGCCTCCAGGGGCTGGCACGCCCCCGTGGACTTGGAGAGCTGGGAGCTGCCCGGAGGCGCTTGGCCAGATGGGGCGCATAGCCTTCGTGTCGGGGGCAGGGGCAGGACATCCTCCTCTAATGATTGAACGTAGAGAAACAAGCCATGCCCCGAGCCCCCCTCCTCACTGATGGAGGGGACAGGCAGACCAGGGCCTCCATGCGGGAATACACCCCACTGGCCTGCCGTACGTTCTGGGCTTTGCCCAACCTTAGCCGCAGCGAGAACTGCCCATCCCTGATCCCAGCCCTGTTGCTGGCCAGCTCGGGCGGCTGATGAAAACGGGGAGGAGGGGGAATGCAAACTCAGGCGAGGTTGCTCCTGGCAGCAGGTTCCGCTTGAGGGATGTGACGAGGGGGTCCCCAGCTTTCCCTGCCCGGCTCCCCATGGCCCTGGAAGCAGCAACTGCAGAGCCGTGGGTGGGAGAACCTCAGAGAGCCTTTCCCATGGCGGGGAGAGGGCAGCGACGGTAGCGGCAGGGCTTCACATTCCCAGCAGGGCTGCTAAATTCCAGATGCCTGCTCAGAATCTCTAGGCCAGCTGAGAATGCGGCGGGGAGCTCCCTGCCCCACTCCCCACGGAGACAGCTCGGGCAATGAGAAGGCTTCTGTTTGGGGGACCCTCAGAGATGCCACTAAAGCCCACGGGGGGCTGGGCTCCATGCTGCACCCAGGGAGCAGTGCTGCGATGGTGGATGTGTGGTGGTGGGTGGTAGGGTGATGGCACTGGGCTGAATGGCTGTCCCGGGCGGCCTGAGTTCAGAGAGGACTTTGGGGGAGATGGGGCAGGCTCTAGCCTGCCACCTGAAGGCCAGCACCAGGGCACTGCGTTTCTCCAGGAACTTGGTGGGGCAGAGACCCAGATCACCAGGCGAGCTTTCCCCTCTGCAGCTGCTGCCACCTGGAGCAGCCTCCATCTAGCTGCCTCGGCTATCGGGAAATCAGGCTGCAGCCTTAGCCTTTCTCCCCATCACCCCGCTGCCACCATCCAGGAGCGGGACTTGGCAATCCCCATAGCAAAGACACTGTGAGAGACGGAGCTGTTGAGACGGAACAGCTAAGAGGACACAGTGGGCTGCCAGTGCTGACTCCCAGGCCCTGCTTTGATCGCCTTCGAGATGAAACATTTTAGGGATGGGGGCAGGACCTCAGACTCGTTGGTCCAGTTTCTCACCCTGCTGTCTGAGACGGAGAGCCTAATCACCTGGGGTTAATACAAAAACCCCTTAGCGTTGCCCTAGCCCCATTCCTCTAAGACAGTCAAATGCTCTGCAGAGGTGAACAGAATTAGTCTCATTATACAGGCAGGGAAACTGAGGCACAAAGCGGCGCCGGCTAAAAGGTCCGAACGTTGGGTGTCGAACAGAAAACACCTGAATCTATGTCTAGCCACTCAAATGAGCCCCCTGAATTTTAGCCCTCAGGGCTCTCCCCAAAGTCCAGCCACTTATTTAGGTGCCTCAGTGTGGACTGAAGCCAGAAACGTTCACAAGGGCCCAGCGCCCCCCCCCCCACCCACACACACACACAGCCCGTGCCAGGTTTTCAAGAGAGCTCGATGTTGCTGAGCAGTTTGGAAAATGTGGCTCCACGTGTGGGTGCTGGAAAATCCGGCCCTCAGTGACTTGCAGCAAAGCAGGTTACCCAGTGGCAGAGATGGGAGTAAAACCCAGCCCCCCTAGTCCCCGACTGTAGCCACGAGCCCAGGGCATCTCCCATATTTACATTACAGGGTGTCATGTATTAATTTACAGGCTAGGCTCCGCCATCTGAAGCCTTTTAATCACGCAGCCAGCTTGCTGGCATTCTCCCGAGTCTCTGAGAGGCAGCACCAAGGGGCCAGACACTCTAGTCCCTCACATGATGGGGCCTGCAAGGTAAGTGCCAATAACTCCCCCAGACTGGCTTTGCCAATGGGGTGTTGGGCTCGGGAGGTTACAATGCCCGCACGTTTCCTCCAAACTGCTGTCAATGGCGCCACCCCATGAGCAAAGTGGGCTAATGTTTGTACCAGGGAAATCCCTCAGCAAAGGGGCGAAGCAGTTAAAAAGACAATGACACCTTGGGATGGGCAGGATAGAAATTGATCGGCACAGCAGGGAAACAGCAGGACGCCAACAGTCAGGGGAAAGACTGACCTCATCCAGAAACAGCCTGGTTCTCAGAGGTGCTGAGCCACCTGCCGTGCCTGCGGGGGACCCAGCGACTATGACAATCAGGCCTAAAATGTCTTCACAACACCCCACAGGCTGCAATCCTCACCCCACTGCAAACAGCCGCCACATCGGCATGCCCACTCTGCTAGCAACTGCCCTGCTTGGCAGGGTCCTTGCCCCAGGGACCCTGCACTCCTCTGATTAATGTGGCTAAGGAGTTATGGAGAGTCTGACAATCCTATTAGAATAATGTTAGCCACCTACGTGACCCGGGCGGCGGCTAGTGCAAAGCGTGCATGGGCTAGCAGAGGCCCGGCAGCACCCTCCCTGCATCTACTGAGGAGGGGACCTTGTTCCTACAGAGGTCCTTAGCAGGAGAATGCACAAGTCCTGAAATGAATTAAAAGATGGAACGGGTCCCTGATGGGGCTTTACTTTGCCATCGCAATAGCACTGGTCTGCTGTGCTTCCCATCCACCGCCCTGGGGACGCACGGGCCAAAGCTGGCATCCCTCATCCTGCAGTGCTTGTTTGCAGACAGAACCCCAGCTGGCTGCGAGGTGCTTAGGGTGAGATGCTTCTGCTGTAGGAGACACCTGAGGGTGACAGTCATGCTGCAGGGTCCCCACCTAAAGGTACATGCACCTTGCACTAGGCGTCTCCCTTGTATTTCCTGCTCACCGCTGAAAAGCATCCATTCTGAATGGGATCCCACACAGCCCTTCCCACCTGACTGCCAGTGAGAGACAGAGACACTGCAACAGGAGGGCTGAATGCCAACTCTGCCTCGGGCAAAAATGGACTGGGGAGAGGAGATGGCACTCTTCTCTAGCACCTTCCATCCAGGGCTCCCAAAGCACTTCATAACAGAGGGTCAGTATCATTATCCCCACCTCACAGAGGGGGAAACCGAGGCAGCAACCTGCCTGAGGAAATCAGTGGCAAAGTCTGAAATACAAGTCAGGGCTCCTGCTTCCTTCCTAAGCCTGTTGTTCTAGGCAATAGGCAAGACTGCCCTCTGCACTGACCGGGGTGCTCAGCATAACCCACTGCTGTTTGCCAGGTACACAGTATGGTTTTTATGTTGACTACATTTCTCTGGCAGCCCTTCAGCTCTGTCCCTAAATTCAAAAGCCAAGCTCCTTTCCATCCTTTCTGCAGCACAAATTGTGAATACAGCTACAAAGTGTCTTTCCCAGGGAATGCCAAAGCCGACCTGTCTCATGCAGAGCAGGGCACCCAGTGGAGGTACCCAGCTGCCCTTCCAAGCCCTCCCTTGTAGAGCACGGGGAAGTTCTCAAGAGGGCAGGTTAGTCCCAGTCCTCTCCACAACTGGGACGTAAGCAGAGTGGAACCACTGGGACCATCCGTGGCGCTAGAAGTCAACCCTGCAAAATCCTCTTTGAACTGAGCCCTGTTGGGTACCCTGTGGCAACAGGGCTGGGCCAGCGCTTGGAAAATTAAGATCTTTGAAGTGAACCTGGTGAAACTTTACTATCCGTCTAAAACAGACAATTCCAACGCTGCTGGTGGCCAACCCAAACTGAAAGCCCCCAAAGCCATGGGTTATCACAGCCATTGAAATGTTTGACAGAAAGAGCCAGGACAGTTGGCGGTAATTGCTCAGTATAAATACTCCATTATGCTCTCAAACAATCAGAATCTGCCCAGCAAACCAGCTCCTCTGATCCGTTGCAATCAAGAAGCAAAGCATGCATAACATCACAGTATAAACAGCATTATGCAGAGGGGCATAGGGAGGAGGGGGGAGTTGGCTCAGCAGGTCCTGAAATAATAGCTGCCTTTTGGTTTTGTTTCTAATTTGCGGGAGAAATTTTATATCAGCAAAGTGTGGCCCCAAATTCTGAGCCCAAGCAAGCTGCAGCTGATTCTGGGGTGGGGGTGTCTATCCTTGTGCCCCAAGGACAGCCCTGGCCCTGCAAAGCAAATGACAGTTTGGTACTTACAGGTAAGCCGTTAAGGGGCTCAGGCTGACAGGGACTTGGGAGAGTCCCAGCTCTGAACAATCCACTGAGAGCATTATGCCATCTTCTTCACAGTGGCACTGAGGCGGGCATGCTGGTGCAGCACCTGGGTCCGTGGATGCCGCCTGGAGAGTGGCAGAGGAGGACAGAAAAGTGCACCAGAAGAAGAGCTTGTCCATCTTGGTCACAGCTGCAGCCCTCATGAGCTGGGTGAGGGTGGCTTGCACTGGCTCTGACTGCTCGGACAGAGTCTGACTTCTCAGACCCAGCAGGCACTGGATTCCCTGCACTCCTGAGTGTAGTAAAGATGCAGCCAGTGAAGGGGAGGCATTGTTGAATGATCTTGGTTATTGGGTTTCACGGGCTGGGCAGGGCAGGGGCGTGAGAGCCTCGGAGAGGAGGAGCTAAAGGAACTTTCTGCTCTCTCCCTCTCTCTCCCAGAGAGCTGGCAGGAATTTCATTCAAAGAGAAGAAGAAGAAGAAAAAAAACACCCCAACTAATAAAGACCTGTTTGTAGCTCCGGGACCCGTGCTTTGTTTTGCAATGTTTTTGTGGGGTAGCAGTGCAGGGGCAAGGAAAGCCGACTCCTCCAGGAGAAAGTAATTTAAACGGGTTTGATCCTGCCCCAACGGCACTTCAAACACTGACTGGTATCCCTGAACCATGCCTTTGGAGGCACACGCGCTGGGGCTGGCTCCCTAAACCCAGCCTTCAGCTGGGAATTCAGGGGTTAACATTCAGGGGGATTAGTCTGAATAAGCCATGCTGTTGCCACCCAAAAACTGCACTGCTATCTACCTATCTTAGGTACTTCTATGGCTCCATCACCACAGAGCACCTCTTTACCCTCCACACCCTCCTGGGAGGCAGCGCAGTGTACAGATGGGAAACTGAGGCACAGGGAGACTAATTAACTTGCCTGAGGGAGGCTGTGACAAAGCAGGCAATTGAATCCAGGTCTCCTGACTCCTAGACTAGAGCCCTTATCACTAGGCCATCCTGCCTCCGCTCCTTCTCTGAGCTCACAATACCGCGTTTCATGTCAGATGACATCTCTCCTTTGATCAAGGACTGTGCCTTATGGCGATAAACAGACAACACCTGGAGAGCGGAAGCGATACGGTTATTCCTAAATGTAGTGTCGAATGCTACACGCTAGAGGTGAACAACAGAACCACAAGGACCCCCCCCACACACACCCCGGAGACCACAGAAGCAAGTGTTGGACTCTTCTATCCACTGTGTTACTGAAGGGGGAACAGTTTGGCAAGACAAACAAAAACTAGATTTCACCTCCAAAAATTACAACCAGCCCTTCTCTAAACCCATTCCTGCAAGGAGCCTGACAGACAGAGGGAAATCACCCTAGGGATCTCCTCTGGGAGTCAGTTTCTTCAGGGGGGTTCCACACTCCCTCTTTTGGGGACTGTAGTCTCAGGTTTAACTTGAGACTCGCCGAGGCTTCTCTGCTTTTCCCTGCTCACTCCCTCCACTGCCCGGAAAGTCAGAGCAACTCAAATGCCTCCTGCGCATGGGTTCCAGCTCCAAACTGCCCACAAAGCGACCCAACGCCTGCCAGACCGACGCGATGATGACCCCGGAGCGGGCAGCCCTGAGGCTGGAGGCGCAGGAGTGGAGAAAGAAGAATCCAGGCATGTGTTGCTGCAGAGAATCGCTGTGAACACACCTGCAGGTCCCACATCACCAGCTGGGTGCCGTGGTCAGAGTGAGAACTGGGAGCCTGGGGTCCACTACCTGTTTTTCCACCAATTCCCTGTGTCCTTACGTGAATCAATGCACCTGTCTGCGTCCTTGTTACTTCCCGGGAAAAGAAGCTAGGAGAATGAGGCGGTCTGCAAAGCACGAGAGGCTTAAGCAGCCAACGCTGCACTTGGAGGGCTGATTGCAGCTCAGGGAGACACACTCGAACCTGCTTTAATCTCACTGGCTTGAGTCCTGGAGCAGTGAAGCCGCAGCGGCACTGGCTAGCTACCGAGTAATTCCCCAGGGCTCCAGACAGGCTCATGCAGACTGAGCGGCATAGCCCACGCTGTACGGCTTCGCTGCTAGATGAAAGCTAGTTAGCTTGGGCTCGGCTACTCCCCATGATTGCAGTATAGACCTACCCTGAGTAGCTTACCCAAGAGAAGGTCAAGAGATGCCTTGATCCCAGAATAAGTACCCTCCTGGGGAAAAGATTTCTGTTATTAGCGGGCTCTTCAATCTAGCAGACCAGGATAGAAGGAGATCCAATGGCTGGAAGTTGAAGCTAGACACATTCAAACAGGGAATACGTTTGCACATGTTTAATGGGGATGGCAATCAACCATTGGAACAACTTACTGAGGGGAATGCGGGATTCTTATCATCCCTGAAGTCAAGACCGGGTATCTCTTTCTAAAACATCTGCTCGAGCTCAGCCACAAGTTGTTAACAGGGTGAGGAACCCCTGGCTGGGTTTGTCTGACCTGTGCTATGCAGGAGGTCGATTGAATGTATCTAATTTCGATGGGAGTTAGGTGCCTAAAGATCTGGGCCATTGGTCCCTTCTGGCCTTAAACTCTAAGGCCCCACTGAAGTCAATGGGAGCTTTGCCACAGACTTCTGTAGGGCCTGCATTTCACCCTTGAGATTTAGAAATTGATTTAATGGGAATAACACCACGTACATCACAGGGCATTTCTGAGGTTTCATTAATTAAACCTTTGCAAAGTGCTTTGACATCCCCAGCCACACAGGATTTAGATTAAAGGGAAAGAGCTATACAGGGAGGTGGGAACTCCATAATTAAAGGGTGAGCCAGGCATGCTTTCCTACAGCTTTGACTTGGACAATTGGTTTGGCTGGAAAATTGCCACATTTACTCAGGTGGCCAGTCTGGAGAATGCACGCAACCCATTGGGAGTGCCAGGCCAGTCCCAACAACCCTGGCCAGAAAGGATGGATTCACCTAAGGTGTCTCTGTCTCCCTCTAGCTCAAAAATGGTTCATTACTGGCCCCTAAAACTTCTTGCCCAGTGAAATGTCCTTTGGGATCCAGCCGCTGGCTAGACTGGAAGAAAATAATTTGTGTTGAATTTGTGATTAATAGAGCTGATGGGAAATGCAGTTTCACTGAAACGTTTCCAGGAACGCGTCAGTTTCGACAAAATTTGTGCTGGAAACATTCTTCTGAAATGATTCAATTTGAAGGGGGAGGATTTAGTTTGGACTGTCTCATATTGTGTCAGCTTTTAATTTTTTTTAAACTGTCAATTCATGTTAATATCACATTTCTACGGCCCTAGGATACTTTATAGAGAGATAATATTTGATAGTATATCGTACGGTTTCAACTGTATTAAAACGTTTGGAGGAGTTTATTTCAATGTTTCCTCAGTACATTTAGGATTTGAAGACAAAAGGCAATTTCGAAATGAGATGGAAATTCTGTTTTCCGGCCAGCTTTAGTTAATGATTTCTGCTGTGCATAGTTGGGGTGGGGGTGGGGGGGGGCACTGACTGTAGTGGTAGCTCTGGGCCCAATCCACTGCCATTAACATACACAGATGTTTTTTGCCATTGGCTTTAGTGGAAGCAGAATCAGGCCCCCTGTATGCTTGTGTGTTGCCCTCTAGTGGCTGGCTGCGGCTTTTAGAGAGCAGAAGAGTGTTTCTAATAGCAGACGGCAATCCAGGCTGGTCCCTTAGCTCAGCTGATAGGGCTCCTGTCTCACTCTTTGGTGTGCATAGATTATTAGAGAGAAAGAAATAGCCCCTTCACACGGAAGTTACAACCTCTACCCCTGACGTTTCAGTTGCGAGTCTGCCACAATTCCCTGTGCAGTGATGTAGCCGTGTCAGTCCCAGGATATCAGAGAGACCAGGTGGACGAGGGAATATCTTTTATAGGACCAACTTCTGTTGATGAGAGAGACAAGTTTTCGAGCTGACACAAAGCTCTTCCTTGGGTCTGGGGAAAGTACTCAGTGTCATAGCTAAAAACAAGGTGAGGCAGATTGTTTTAACAGGCCACTTCACCTTGAATGGTCCCTTGAAATATGTATTAACGACTTATGCTAAACAGATATATTGGAATTGGAAAAGGTGCAGAAAACGGCAACAAAAATGATTAGGGGTATGAAACAGCTTCTGTATGAGGAGTGATTAATAAGACTGGGACTTTTCAACTTGGAAAAGAGACAGCTAAGAGGGGGATATGATAACGGTCTATAAAATCATGAGTGGTGTGGAGAAAGTAAATAAGGAAGTGTTGTTTACTCCTCATAACACAAGAACTAGAATTAATAGGCAGCAGGTTTAAAACAAACCAAAGGATGTATTTCTTCACACAACGCACAGTTAACCTGTGGAACTCTTTGCCAGAAGATGTTGTGAAGACCAAGACTATGACAGGGGTCAAAAAAGAATTAGATAAGTTCATGGAGAATAGGTCCATCAATGGCTATTAGTCAGGATGGCAGCGATGCAAAACCATGCTCCGAAGTGTCCCCAGTCTCTGTTTGCCAGAAGCCGGGAATGGGCGACAGAGGATGGATCACTTGATGATTCCCTGTTCTGTACATTTCCTCTGAAGCACCTGGGCTAGATGGACCATTGGTCTGACCCAGTCTGGCCATTCTTATGTTAATACCTCTCCTGTCATGCGGGGGGGGGGGGGGGGAAGAGAGGAAGAGGAAAGCAGGGTTGTTAGAGGGTTACAGGTTGTTATAATAAGCCATAAATCCAGAGTCTCCATTCAGTGCATAATTTTTAGTGTCTAGCAAAGGTTTATGCATTTAATCCCCCGAGCTCATCTTCTGAAGCATCGTGCAGGTTTTCTGTGAGGACAAGGACGGAAAGGTCAGACACAGAGTGATCACTTTGAGAAAAGTGTTCAGCCACATGTCTTTAATCATTTCCAGGAAAATTATAAGAGACAAAAAAAAAAAAAACCAACCCTGTGGCCCGTGGGGAATACTTTTCACAAAGCGAACACACACTGCTTTCTCCCTTTCCCCTTCCTTCCTCCCTGTGATGGGAGAGGTGTTAACAGGCCATTTCACAGGTCCCTTGAAATATGTGTTAACTACTTATGCTAAACAATCTTGTCACTCACCTTGTCTCTCTAGAAGAAAGAACAGGAGGACTTGTGGCACTTTAGAGACTAACCAATTTATTTGAGCATCAGCTTTCGTGAGCTACAGCTCCCTTCATCGGCTGCATTCAGTGGAATGTCTCTCTAGGATTCCCTGTGCTCTTTTTCTCACCACAGCAGCAGTTAGAGTGATGGTAGTCCTGCCGATGGGTGGCTAATTTAGCAGTCTAGGGACTGTGCATGTCTTTTAGGCTTGT